CTGGGGCTACACAGAAGATTTCAGAAGCCACATTGGAAAGGATGTTTACAACAGCATCATTCAAAACATTGGACAGAGGTAGCCACCACATGCCCACAGGTCACAGACACACAACAGTGGGAACTGGGAAGCAGGTCCTGTCACAGGGCAGTGTGGGGGAGCTAGGGAGGGGGTCCTGGCACAGGGCAGTGTGTGGGAGCTGGGGAGGGGGTCGTGGCACAGGGCAGGGTGGGGGAGCTGGGGAGGGGGTTCTGGCACAGGGCAGTGTTGGGGAACTGGGGAGGGGGTCCTGTCACAGGGCAGTGTTGGGGAGCTGGGGAGGGGGTCCTGTCACAGGGCAGTGTTGGGGAGCTGGGGAGGGGGTCCTGACACAGGGCAGTGTTGGGGAGCTGGGGAGGGGGTCCTGTCACAGGGCAGTGTGGGGGAGCTGGGGAGGGGGTCCTGACACAGGGCAGTGTTGGGGAGCTGGGGAGGGGGTCCTGTCACAGGGCAGTGTGGGGGAGCTGGGGAGGGGGTCCTGACACAGGGCAGTGTTGGGGAGCTGGGGAGGGGGTCCTGTCACAGGGCAGTGTGGGGGAGCTGTGGAGGGGGTCCTGACACAGGGCAGGGTGGGTGAGCTGGGAAGCAGGTCCTGATACAAGGCAGTGTGGGGGAGCAGGGGGGGTCCTACACAGGGCAGTATGGGGGAGCTCGGGAGGGCGTCCTGTCACAGGGCAGGGTGGGGGGGCTGGGGGGGTCCTACACAGGGCCGTGTGGGGGAGCTGGGAAGGGGTTCGTGGCACAGGGCAGTGTTGGGGAGCTGGGGAGGGGTCCTGGCACAGGGCAGTGTGGGTGAGCTGGGGAGGGGGTCCTGACACAGAGCATGGTGGGGGAGCTGGGGAGGGGGTCCTGGCACAGGGCAGTGTGGGGGAGCTGGAGAGGGGTTTCTGACACAGGGCATGGTGGGTGAGCTGGGGAGGGGGTCCTGGCACAGGGCAGTGTTGGGGAGCTGGGGAGGGGGTCCTGGCACAGGGCAGTGTGGGGGAGCTGGGGAGGGGGTCCTGACACAGAGCAGTGTGGAGGAGGTGGGGAGGGGGTCCTGGCACAGGGCCGTGTGGGGGAGCTGGGGAGGGGGTCCTGGCACAGGGCAGTGTGGGGGAGCTGAGGAGGGGGTCCTGTCACAGGGCAGTGTGGGGGAGCTGAGGAGGGGGTCCTGTCACAGGGCAGTGTGGGGGAGCTGGGGAGGGGGTCCTGGCACAGGGCAGTGTGGGGGAGCTGGGGAGGGGGTCCTGACACAGGGCAGTGTGGGGGAGCTGGGGGGATCCTGTCACAGGGCAGTGTGGGGGAGCTGGGGGGTCCTGTCACAGGGCAGTGTTGGGGGTGCTGGGGAGGGGGTCCTGACACAGGGTAGTGTGTGTGGGAGCTGTGGAGGGGGTCGTGGCACAGGGCAGTGTGGGGGAGCTGGGTAGGGGGTCCTGTCACAGGGCAGTATAGGGGAGCTGGGGAGGGGGTTCTGACCCCAGGCAATGTGGGTGAATTGGGGAGGGGGTCGTGGCACAGGGCAGTGTGGGGGAGCTGGGGGGGGTCCTGGCACAGGGCAGTATAGGGGAGCTGGGGAGGGGGTCCTGTCAAGGAGAGGGTGGGTGAGCTCGGGAGGGGGTTCTGGCACAGGGCAGGGTGAGAGAGCGTATGGGAACATGGGTCCAACAAGCCAGGATCACTAGGGTGTCAAAGCCTAGCGGGCGGTGGCTGCTGGGCCGGGAGGGGCTGGGCATCTTGGATGAGCTTTGGCTCCGGATTGGAGTACAGCGATGACCGTTCGCAAACGGAGACACCTCATGCCGGTGAGCTGCAGCTTCAAATGTACGAATCTGAGACATCCTGCCACCAATGTGGGGAAAAGTTCTTAGAAATCAGCAAAAAATGGCACTGGGAACTAATTCTGTCAAGTCAAATGCCAGACCCACCTGAAGTGGGTGTAGCCTCGAAGGGAAATAGTGGGCACCTCCCTCGGGGTTACCACTCTTACTGGACTGCACGAAAACCAGGACAGGCGCAGGGGTGGCTAGACAGAAAGACACCTGCAAGTATGTGTATGGGCTGGATAGTAGGTTGGTTGGGTTGAACTAGGCTTCAATGCCCATTGACATGTGTGAGAGCTAAATGGGAAGTGGGACAGACTGGACAAGCCTGCGGTACGCACTGCTAAGCATGGGAACCAGGGTAGAGGGCAGAACTGGTGGGGGTTATGGGGAGTCTCTCCGACTAGGCTGCAGCTCCCACTGGTTTGCGTGAGGACGGAGTATGAAATGGGTAGGATCGAGATGGACTACAACACCCGTTGGTTCACGAGGAAGACAGGGCTGGAAACAGAACTGACTCAGCAATCGCAACTACCAGCATGTGCATAAGCTGATTGGTGTGACGGACGGTGCTGGACTCTGTACTAGCAAACTCACGCAAGAATCAGGTCTGGGATCATCTCAGATGAAGTTTCTTTGAATATCCCTCCAACTGAACTGCTGATCTTGGAACCCCAACCATCAAGAGACTGTCAGCCAGTGGACATTGAATAAGTTTCATTGCGATCGGAACTGTGAGATTAGCAGCAATCCAGAACTGATGAACCATCAAAACTGAGCAGGACCCTTGGAGCGCACCTCCTGTTGGGGATTGGGGATGGGTGGCAGGCTGGGTGGGGCTTTTCCCTTTGTTTTTCTCCTGGCCCCAGATACAGGGGAAAATGAAAATATTAGTGTGGAGACAATGGTATTACCCACTTTCACCCTGTATCCCCTGACCCTTTGTACCCTAATCAACTAAGTAAGATTATTAAAAAATAATTAAAAATCAATAAATAAATAAAAAGAAAAAAAAACCAGCAAAAAATGAAACATAGGGAATCACAAACAGACATGCCACAACAAGTCACAAACGACCCAGCATCAGTGAGCTTTGTACAAATCTGAAATGTACCACATACAAACCCCACATGGGGGCAGACCTGGGCAGGGCCACGTACAAACCCCACATGGGGGCACACCTGGGCGGGGCAGCGTTCCCCAGCAACCACCACACAGGCCTCTGAGGACCAGAGAGTGGATGTCCCTGTAAGTGCCTCTTCCACCTCTTGGGTACCTGACCAGTGGCTGCAAGGCCCCAGTACTTCTCACACCCCTGGCCAATAGTCTACCCGGCTTGGAGTAGACCCCTCTAAGCGTACCTGAGTCCAGTGCCCACAACCCCTATGAAAGTTTGGCATGCCTTTGGCCTCCCTGGGTGCGGCTGGCGCCCCAACTCTCCAGGTTGGGCCTGCTGTGAACAGCTCTCAGAGACTGTGTCTGGTGTTGCACACTCCAGCCCGCCTGTGGGCATGCGTGGTGCTGTGCGCCCCAGCCTGCTTGTGGGCATGCCTGGTGCCGTGCACCCCAGCCTGCCCGCATGTCCCACACCAGGGACCCCCGCGTGGGAGGGTCCAACCCTAGGACGGTGGGCTCTGTTCTGCTATAGCCTTGAGTGGCATGTTACCAGTTCTGCAGAATTTCTTAAATTTCCATAGATTTAAAAGGCACAGAGCCTGCCAGCCCTCTGATCCACATCCCAAATGCCTACTACAGCCAGGGCTCGGTGAGGCCAACGCCAGGGCCTGGGGCTGCACTGGGGTCTCCCATGCGGTGGTAAGGGACCCAGCTTGAGCCACCAGCGCTGCCACCAGCAGGAAGGTACATGTGGCAGGAAGCCGGAAATGGAAGTGGAGCCAGGATTTGAACTTGGGTGTCCCAGTGGAGTCTACACTGCCATGCAGAAGCCTTCCAGTGGTCATGAGAAACATGTCCACTTCTGCCTGGAGCCCTGAGGGTCCTGCAAAAGGGCAGGCTGGGCCATGCCTGTGCTGGGGCCCTGGCCCACCTTTCCCCATCCTGGGCTTGGGCCACTCATGACTCCCCAGGACACCCTGGGCGTGTGTGTCCCTTGTCCAGGTGCCAAGGCAGCAAGAGCTGGCTGGCCTGCCAGCTACCAGGACCTGGTGCCTCGGGCCTGTGCTGAGTCCCCAAGTGAGGCCTGAGGTGTGATGCCCGTTCCCAAGGCTTGCCCGCCTGCCTGTGCCTGGCAAGGCACACACTGCTGCTTTCTTCCCTGTCCGTCCCTGGTGCCTGCACTGTCTCGCAGCCTTGCAGGGACCAGGCAGGACGCCAACGCCAGATGCCGACCTGGTGAACAAGCAGGCGACCTTCTCGGAGGGAAATCGGCTGGGCTCACGCCTCCCAGTCCTGCCCTGCTCCTCTCGGGCTCGGGTGCCAGCTGGAGGGATCTGCATACCCAAGGGGGTTCTTTCAAACCTCCCTCTCCCTGCCTGTGGTTGCCGAGGCCCCAACAGTTCAGAGTCCAGGGGGGTGCAGGTCTGGCCTATGGGGCAGCAGCACCATCCTCCTGCCTATCCCCTCCCACCTCACCTGACAGCCCTGTACCTACTCCTGCTTGAGTAAATCCTGGGGCTGAGGGTGCCTTGTGGGGCTCCGGGAGAGGGGCTTGGGGTGGGCAGGACCCTCTAGTTAGTGGTAAGGAGTACAGTACAGCCTGTGTGCTCCCTGCCTCTCCCCCAGCTCCAGGGCCCGTGGGGTATGGCGGCCCTAGGGGCCCTGTAGGCTTCTCACCCCACTCCATGCCCGAGGGGACACAGGGAGGGGTCTAACAATGGCTGAGCCTGGGCAGAGAGGCCAGGAGCGGCCTGTGGTCAGTCCCTAGCCACTGTCCGCGAGGAGAGGGGTGGCCAGTGCTCTGGGGCTGGGGACAGGGCGCCCTGGGGGCGCAGGTGGGCATCAGGGCCAGCTTCGCAGGCTGTCGGGGCCAGAGCCGACAGCTGTTGTCGGAGGCCGTCAGAGGCGGTCAGGGACACTCAAGGGCCGTGAGGTGCGGGTCAGCGGCCTTCAGCCCCCCGCCCCGGAGCCCCTGCCTGCGCCCCGTGCGCTGCGTCCTCCCCATCGGAACCCGCGCCCCGCACCCCGGGCAAGGCTGCTCACCGGTCCGCGCGGCGCCGTCGCTGCACAAGTCCACGGAGGCTGCTGTGCCCACGGAGACGCGGCGGCGGGAAGGGACGGCGGGCGGGGCCGTGCGCTTTATACCCGGGCCGCGCCCGGCCTCGCGGCCACCGGGGGGCGCTGCGGACCCGTGGACGCTCAGGTCCGGGGGCGGCCACCCTGTCCCGCGCCCACCCCATGCCCGAGAGCAGCGGCTCCGGGTGGCGCTTCGCGGAGCACGCCTGGACTGGACCCTGGCAAAGGGAGGGCCTGGTGAGAGGCGGCCGGGACAGCCGGGGCCTTGGGCATTCTGGGCCGGAGTCTCTGTTCTCCCAGGGCTCCTCCTTTAAGGAAGATGGGGCTTGCAGATCTCTGAAACGGGCCTGACCAGCGGCTTGTGTCTGAACCCCATCCTGCTGCACAGTGAGGCGCCCTCCTCAAGTGTCCAGGTTGCGAAGAACAACAGACGCGTGCAGCCAGTGGACAGGACCCTGGGCAGGCATCCCTACACATACCCCTGCGTGCTCCCCAAAGGGCCTGTACCGGAGCTCCAGCTTCCCCTGGCGATGCCGGCCACTCTGGTCCTGCCAGCAGCCTTTCCATGGGGGTGGGTGCCTGAGTGTGGCAGCCACAGGAGCTGGGAAGCCACCCTACAGCCCCCACTTCCCTCTCCCTCACAGGGGTCTCTCTGTGGCTCCCAGCCACTTTTCCAGGCTGGAAGCCCTGGAGGCAGAGGTGGCCACGGATGGCTTCCATCTCAGTGTGGGCCCTGGAAACCATGCGGCCCGTCCCAGGGTCGAGTGGCTCGGGCCCTGGGGAGCTGCTCAGACCCAGCAACCTGGTCGCAACAGGTGCCTGAAGCTTGGCTGCCACTGCTCTTCTCTCCCTTACCATCTGAGGAGAGGCACGGGAGGGACATTGGCTGGCCCTGACCACCTGGATGTCCACGGGACGGGGAGCCAGTGGCTTTCAGGGATGCATCCTGGGAGGAGGAGGGCGCTGGGGGGAGCCTGTGTGAGCCCTGAGCTCCGAGAATCCAGGGACAGACAAGTCGCTGTGTGTCACAGTCCTGCACCCAGGAAGGGGGCACAGGGCAACACAGACCCTGCCCACGCCCTTCTCAGGGCTCCCAGGGGGTGGGAGCGCCTGCACGTCTGGGCTGTGGGAGTGGGTGGACAGCCGTGTGCAGGGATTGGCTTGCTGTGCCTGGGCAGGGAGACTGCATGCCCTGCCTTAGCTTGGACCTCGGACAGGCTGGGCACTTTGCAGTGGGGCCCTGGAAGGCTTGCTGTTGTGGGAGGTTCCAGTCCCAGTCCTGGCTATCTGTTGCCCCAGTAGTGGGCACCTCCGGGAGCCCACGGGGTGGGTGCCCCTGGCAGTCCTGCCCTGTTGTAGAGGACACTGGGGCTGCTTATCCAGGTGTGGGCAGCTGGGGCTGGGCCTGGGATGCCCTCACTTCAGTGTCCACATGGCACTACCCAACCCTGAGGGGGTGCAGAGATGTGAACTTGGAGCCTCCAGTACTCTGAGGAGATTTGGGGGTGTGTGATGGGGTTTGTATAGGTCACTGCCAGGCCCCATTTTCGGAAAACCCACAGGGCTCTGCAGGAAAGCCCTGAGGCAGCCAAGCCCATCTGGTTCTGAGGGTCTGGAATGCTGTGTGGCATACCCCTCCCTGGCCCCATTCCCAGGCTACCATGGGGCTCACTGGTCCATTCTCTGGGACACAGCGAGGGCCGCTTGGAAGGCTGCGGGCACCTTGGGTAGTGCCTGGTAGGAGTGGGCAGCCCAGGGCCAGTCTGCGGCCTGTGGCATGCCAGGGAGAGGGATTCCATTTCCTTTCCCGCCCACAGTTTTCCAGGCGGGGGAGGCCCTGCGGTTGGGCCAGAGACGCCCCGGAAGCCGTGGGGGTGAGGAGGCTGCAGTGGACTTGGAGATGTTCCAGAGGAGGCCCTTCCCCCTGCCCCCATAGGCTAGCTCCAGAAACAGGACTCCATGGCCACTCCAGGGGCCGGGGTCGCAGGGCATGACTGACCCTTCCAGCTGTGGCTCTGGCTTGCTGAACACTTGTGTTTTTGTCTTATTTTACAACAGTGCTAGAGCGAGGAGAAAGGTATTGTGTTTGTGTTGCCCTTGCCACCGGGATGGAGGGTGGAGAGGGACTCAGGACATCATGAGTCGGGTGGGGACTGAGCGGCTGTGGGAACCCCAGGTGCAGCCCGGCCACAGCCCCCGTGGAGGGACTTGCCTTTGCTGGGTCATTTTTTGCAGAGGCCAGCTGTGCTGAGCAGCGGTGTGCACAGACCCTGCCCGCACCGCTGAGCTGGAATCCTGCTGTGTGGATGGAGCCAGGCCAGGGTGGGAAGAACAGGCTGGGTCTCCGCTTCCTGTCTCTCCCTCACCTCTGAGCATTTCCAAACGCCCAGCCCGCGGGTTACACAATACCGCATGAGGCGCATGCCTCAGCTGCACGGCTCCAAGCCAGCTCTGCACGCTGAGCAGGGGCCCTGCTTTGCCGGCATGGGGTCCATGCAGGCCAGCACTCCGGGACCAGTGAGGCCAAGCCAGGCGAACCCAACCCCTGGCCCTCATGCCGGTCCAGAGGCAAGTTCTCAAACTCTGAGCAAAACTTGGCACTTGGGCCAGCACCGTGGTGTAGCGGCTGAACCAGTTTGTGTCCCAGCTGGTCCACTTCCGGTCTAGCTCCCTGCTTGTGGCCTGGGAAAGCAATCGAGGACGGTCCAGAGCCTTCGGACCTTGGGCCCAAATGGAAGACCTGGAGAAAGCTCCTGGCTCCTGACTTCAGATCGGCTCAGCTCCACAGTTGTGGCCATGTGGGGAGCAAACCAGCAGATAGAAGATCTTTCTCCTCCTCTTTCTGTAACTGTCTTTCAAGTAGATAAAAAATAAAAGCAAACTTGGTGCATTTTCGTGGGAAGAAGGCTCCCATATCCTTGCCTTTAAGGCTGTGCCGATTGCTAATTTTCACTGCTGACGACGCTGGCCAGGAATGGAGCCAGGATGCACCTTCCCTGAGGCGGTGCACGCTGCCGGTGCACTAGGCCTCTCCCAGCCCTTCCCCTGCACTTGAGAGGGTCTCAGTGACCTCAGAGCACAGCAGGGACTCTGCTCGTGGGCTAGATGGGAGGGCAGGGAGAGAGAGAGAAACCTGGAGGGGGGAGGGAGGGAGAGAGGAGAGACATAGGGGTGGAGACAGAGAGGGAGAGATGCTGTGGAAGATGGAAGGAGAGGCTGGGGGAGAGAAAGAGGTAGGGAAGAGAGGGATGGAGGGAAAGCCAGAGGAAGAGAGAGGGAGGGAGATAGATGAAGAAGGGGGAGCCGGGTCTCCAGGGTCTGCCTCTGGTAGCAGCCCAGCTCCCTGGCCTGCTGCCCGTGCAGGCCAAGAGGCATCAGCGTGCGCCATGGTGGTCACCAGCACTGTTCCCGAGGAGCTGCGGGAGCTTGTTCGTGATGGGTTTGCCAGCTAACATCCGCTTGGGGCTCTAAGCAGCCCGAGTTCCTGCTGGGCTAGCACAAAGGCTACTTGGGGGCTCTCTGAGGTTGCCCTCGTCCATGCAGCTTGTGAAGCGATCAGAAGGTACCCTGACTCCAGAGGACCCCAAGTCCGGCCACACGCCTGGCGGGGGGTGGTGTATGTGTGAACAGCTGCCAGTTGTAACCATGCGGGGTCCCTGGGTATCTGGACCTGCTGGGAGTTCCCTAGTCACAAGGCTGTGTGGAGTTACAGTGCCCACCTGCTGCCCTCTGCCCGTGCTCCAACAGCCTGCTAAGTCCACAGCAATGCCCTGGCCATCTGAACCAGGAGTCACAGCCAGGTGGGCAGGCACTACGTCCGTGTTGTCCACAGGACAGAGGTGGGAGCTGGGTTGTCCCACTGAGGGAACAAGTTTGGGAGAGTGAGAGGCTAGTCTTTCCACAGCTGACAGCCCCCAGAGAAGCCCCTGAGACCCCTTACAAATACCCCCAAGGTTCCATGTCCCCATCCTTTGGCCTCACTCAGAGCAGGGAGGGCACGGCCAAGTTCTGTTTACCCCAGACCTGGTGAGGGAGCCACAGGTGGCCCCTGAAGTATGCTGGGGTTCCACGAGGAGCTGGTGGGAGTAGGCTGTGTGTTTGTGTGTCACCTGGCATGTGGGCACACACTGGACACCCACACGTACAAATGCATCGTGTGTGTGTCCATCTGCGTGCAGCCAGGTCCCGTGGGCTGGGCTGGGACATCCGTGTGTGGAGACGGAGCCTTCCAGAACAAATCAGCTGTGTGGCTCACTTGTACATACGAAGGCCAGGCTATGTGGATGAGGGGAGGGGGCAAAGGGGGACCAGGAAGGAGTAGACGCCATGATGGCTGCCTGCTCTCCCAGGATGCACTGGGCCTCACCTGGGACCAGGAAGGAGCAGACGCCATGATGGTGTGTGGAGGACCTGAGCGTTTGGTTGCCGCATTGGCTTCCTGCTGGGCCTAGGGTCTGGCCAGTGTCTGTGGCACCTGCTGTCTTCTCTAGCTGTAGCTCCCACTTCACTCCCCTGCACAGTTGGGCCAGCAGCCGGCAGGCCTCCTCTGCCTCGGTGCTTAACTGGGCAGCCATCAGCACCAGGCCTTCCCGGGGCTCTTGTCTCTACCATCTCCCTCAGGACCTCCTGTCCTCAGGCAAGGGAAAGCCTTGCTCTGGCTGAGGGGGCCTCAGCTGGGACCTTGGGTCTGTCAGGCCAGGAAGGCTCTGCCCTCCTCTTGGCCATTGCCCCTGTGCTCACACCACTTTGCTGCTGAGGTCCCATCTTGAGCTTTGCCTGTGCTTGCGGGCTCCTGGATGCCCCTTTGTCGGCTGAGGGCTTCTGGTCTCAGGCCAAGAGGGTTAGGCCCAGGACCCTAACCTTAACCCTAACCCCTAACTCTCACCCTAACCAGAGCTTGATGCACGTCAGCCAGGACTTTTTGCTTAGCTTACCATGTTGGCTGGAGCCTGGAGCCCAGGGTGCAGCTCGGGGACCCACCAACAGCCGTGACA